TCCTCTGCTGATGGGCACCCGGGCTCTTTCTAGACCTCAGCTATGGTGAATTGTGCTGCTGTGAACGTGGGGGTGCGTACATTCTTTCTGATTGGTATTTCGGGTTTCTTAGGATCTATTCTCAGAAGTGGGATCACTGGGTCCACGGCAGTTCCATATTTAATTTCTTGAGGAAACTCCATGCTGTTTTCCATAATGGCTGCACCAGCCTGCGTTCCCACCCCAGAGCACGAGCTGATTTGTTGATGACAGCCATTCTGACAGGTGTGAGATGGTATCTCATTGTCGTTTTGATTTGCATCTCTCTGATGATCAGTGACTTTGAGCATGTTTTCACATGTCTCTTGGCCTTCCGTGTGTCCGCCCTGGAGAAGTGTCTTTCAGGTCCTTTGCCCATTTTTTAGTTAAATTGTTTGTCTTCCTTTTGTTAAGTTGTATGAGTTCCTTATATATTTTGGATATTAACCCTGTATCAGCTGTATCATTGCCAAATATGTTCTCCTATGCAGTAGACTTTCTTGTTGTTTTGTTGATGGTTTCTTTTATGGTGCAGAAGCTTTTTATTTTGATGTAGTCCCATTTGTTTATTTATTTTTTCTTAATTTTCTTTGCCTCGGAGATGTATCTGTAAACATATTGCTAGGAGAGATGTCTGATTTTTTGCTGCCTATGGTTTCTTCTAGGATTTTTATAGTTTCACGACTTACATTTAAGTCTTTTATCCATTTTGAGCTTATTCTTTTATATAGTGTAAATGTGTAAGTTGGTGGTCCAGTTTCATTTTTTTTTTTTTGCATGTATGTGTCAAATTTTCCCTACACAATTTATTGAAGAGACTGTCTTGACTCCATTGAATGCTCTCGCCTCCTTTGACAAATATTGAGCTTAATGGCTTAGGTTGATTTCTGGATGTTCTGTTCTGTTCCATTAATCTACTGTATATGCCTGCTCCTGTGCTAGTACCAGGCTGTTTTGATTACAGTGGCTTTGTAGTATAGCTTGGTTTCTGGTGTTGTGATTCCTCCACCTTTGTTTTTCTTCCTCAAAATTGCTGCAACTATTCGGGGCCTTTTTTGATCCCATATGTACTTTTGGGTTATTTGTTCTATTATAGATCTGTGAAATATGCCATTGGTTGTTTGTTTGTTTGTTTGTTTGTTTTTTAGGAAAATAAACATCGGGGCTTTAATCCTCAAATAAAATTTAAAAACTAAACAACATTTAAATTTACCAAGCATGCAGCCCTCGGGTTTTGAGAGAGACCATCTCACTAGGGACATACCTTCGGGTCATTAGTACCTACCTGAATATGAGAGATAAACATTTCTACACGTATTGGAACAAAACAGGACAGGAGTAACTGATTTCATCAAACCCGCCTTATTCCGGGGGTGGGGGTCGGGGGGAGAGAATTGTTAACGTGCCCCCAAAGAAAAGCCAGAAGTCGGTCACGTAGCAGCTGGATGGTGATTATAGGTGGACTCACTATGTCTTCCATTAAGCATACCAAGCATACAAGTTTTCTGAACAAGAACCAAGTTAAGCTGCCTTTCCTGCCTGAATGAGGTGCAGAGGGCTGAGGCCTGCTGACACACGGACAGGGAGAAGCAGAAGACACACAGGGCAGGTGGCCTGGCCCCCTACCAAACAGCACAATTCCCGGAGACCTTTTATTCGCTTTAAATACTTCGGTGTCATCAGACTTTGAGCAGAGGTGTAGTATTCACGATACCCGAGGGCCCAGTGGTGTCCTGCTCTGTAAGCATGTGAGCTATCAAATGTGTGTTGAAAATCAATCAACAGGCTCCCAAGTGATAGACCAGCTACAGCTGAGCAATGGGCCCAATTTTCTGTTCAGCTGCTGGTTACTAGAACCTTCCAACAGGTTTGGGAAAGGTCCAGAGTATTCACAGAGGAACCAGCCCTTTAAGAGTTACAGCCAGTGATTACCCACAACCCACCGAGCCTGGGAGAAGCCACGCTTCCTTCCTTCACCACCCCCACCAGGGCGGGCCGCAGGGTGTGCCGGTGCAGCTGGTAGCCCGCTTTGTTCACCAGCGTCGCGGTGCCCGGCTCCTTGCCCTCCACCGGCCTGCGGAACAAGGCCTCGTGCTCGTAGGGGTCGAACTTGGCGCCCAGGGGGTCCAGCCGGGGCAGGCCGTGCTTGGTGAACACCTTCTGGATCTGGACCTCGGTCACGACCAGCCCCTTGCAGAGGTTCTTCAGGTGCGGGTTGTCCTGTGACCTCCTCCTTGGGAACGCTCTGCGACCTCCAGCAAGTCCTTGCAGGAGCCCTGGATGCCTTGTAATTTCGCCTCCTCCACCAATTTTGGGGTCCTCTGCCGAAAGTTCTCAGTCCCCGCCAAAGCTTGCTTATACTTTCCCATCGTGTCCTTCAGCTGCTCCTCTAACTTGGCCTTCTCCTCCGTGAGCGTCTTCTCTGCACAGGGACAGTGTCCATCTTCTGGTCCGTCTGACCCATGTCCTCTTCCAGGTTCTGGCCCCTGTTCTCCTGCTTTGCACAGCAGCGAGGCGTGGGACTGAGATATAATGCCAAAGCCGGGAGGCTGTGCCGCACCAACCTCACGCACTGAGCCACCCTCACTGCCATTCGCACCAGCACTGCGAACGCACCCGCCATTGGTCTTTCAATAGGGATTGCACTGATTCTGTAGATTACCGTGGGTAGTGTGGACATTTTGATAGTGTTGATTCTACTGACCCATGAACATGGTATATTCTTCCACTTGTTTATATCTTCTTCTGTCTCTCTTTTTTTTTCAATGTCCTGTAGTTTTCCGAATCCAGGTCTTTTGCCTTCTTGGTTAAGTTTATTCCTAAGTATCTTAATTTTTTTTTTTTTTTTTTTTTTTTGCAAGGGTAAATGGAATTGCTTGTTTAGTTCCTCTTTCTGAGAATTCATTATTGGTGTATAAAAAAGCCACCGATTTGGGGGTGTTGATTTTGTATCCTGCTACATTGCCAAATTCATTTATTAAGTCTAGAAGTTTTTTGGTGGCATCTTTAGGGTTTTCTATGTACAATATCACATGTCATCTGCAAATAATAAGAGCTTTACTTCCTCCTTTCCAATTTGTATGCCTTTAATTTCTTCTTCCTGTCTGATCACTGTGGCTAGGACTTCCAGCACTATGTTGAACAGGAGTGGTGAAGGCAGCCATCCCTGTCTTGTTCCTGTTCTTAGGGGAAATGGTTTTAGTTTTTGCCCACTGCGTATGATGTTCACTGTAGGAGTGTCACATATGGCCTTTATCACGTTGAGATTTGCTCCCTCTATCCCCACTTTGCTGAGTTTTTATCAAAAATGGGTGCTGGATTTTGTCAAATGTTTTTTTCGTGTCTGTTGCTGTGACCATGTGACCTTTTGTCTTTCAGTTTGTTTATGTGATGTATCACATTTATTGATTTGTAAATATTGTACCAGCCTTGCATCCCTGGAATAAATCCCACTTGGTCATGGTGTACGCTCTGTTTAATATATTGCTGGATGCAATTTGCTAATGTTTTATTGAGGATTTTAACATCTATGTTCATCAGGGACATTCTCTCTTTTTTTAGTGTCTTTATCTGGCTTTGGAATTAGGGTCATACTAGCCTCATAAAAATAGTTTGGAAGTGCTCCTTCCTCTTGGATTTTCAGAAATAGTTTGAGGAGAACAGGTATTATTTTTTCTTTGAATGTTTTGTAAAACTCCCCTGTGAAGCTGTCTGCTCCCGGCTTCTGTTTGCCAGAGGTATTTTGATTACTGCTAGTCCCTCTGATCTGTCCCCCATCCCTGGGGAGCCGATCCCCAAACTCTTAACTCCACTTTCCAGATGAATGGCCCATCATCCCACAACCAAGCGACCTTCCTTCCAGCTGCTCCCACCTCCCCAGAGGGCCCTCTTCCCTTTGCCCATGGAGTGACCTGGCTCCCTAGCCTCTCACTTTCCTACCGCTTCCCCATCCCTCGATCCTTCTCACACCAGCACCCCTCAACCCCCGCCAGCACGTGATCTGGCTCCCCAGCTGAAACCCCCACAGTAGTCCGCTCCCCAGCATCTCCACAGTGGTCCAGCCCAGCCCCCTCTGCACCACAGGGGTCTCTTCCCTCAGCTCCCCCCACACACAAACTCACAGTGCTATGGTCCTCGGGCCCTCCCCAGCTCTCCTCCCCACCTTGGATCAGTCCAGTTCCTCAACTATTTACTCCTGGCCCACTGTCCTCACCCAGTGGTCCTGCCCTCATTGCCCCCCCCCCCCCCACACACACACACGGTGGTCCTTTCCTTAGGCCCCTCCCCCCCACACACACAGTGTTCAGCTCTGGAACCCCCCCCCCACACACACACAGTGGTCCTTTCCCTAGGCCCCTCCCCACACACACACACACACAGTGATCCTTTCCCCAGGCCCCCCCACATACACACAGTGGTCCAGCTCTGGAACCCCCCCACACACAGTGGTCCTGCCCTCATTGCCCCCCACATACACGCGGTGGTCCTTTCTCCAGGCCCCTCCCCCCACATACACACAGTGGTCCTTTCCCTAGGCCCCTCCCCGACATACACACAGTGGTCCAGCTCTGGAACCCCCCCACACACAGTGGTCCTGCCCTCATTGCCCCCCACATACACGCGGTGGTCCTTTCCCTAGGCCCCTCCCCCCACACACACACAGTGGTCCAGCTCTGGAACCCCCCCACACAGTGGTCCAGCCCAGTCTGCCCCGCCCCCACAGTAGTCCTTCTCCTTGGCCCCTCCCCACACACACACACAGTGGTTCCGCTCAGTCCGCCCCGCCCCCGCCGCGCCACGCCCCCGCCACGCTCCGCCACGCCGCGCCACGCCACGCCCCCGCCGCGCCACGCCCCCGCCGCGCCACGCCACGCCCCCGCCGCGCCACGCCCCCAGCCCAGGGCCTCAGGACGCAGGCGGTGGCGGTGGCGGCGGCGGCTGAGGCGGCGGCTGAGGCGGCCGCGGACTGAAACCGCGAGGCGATGGCCGCGGCGCGGAAGCGGGAGCGGGAAGCCTTGCGCTTCGTCTACCTGCCCCGCTTCGGCCCGCTCCCGGGCGGCGGCGTCCTGCCGCGGGGCGCGCGCCGGGCCGCGGAGCCGCGAGGGGCGGCGCTGCCCCCCGGCGCCGGGCCCGCGGCCGCGGCCTCCTCGGCGGGAAGGGCGCGTGCAGGTGGCCGAAGGGGCGGCGGGCGGGCCCTCCCTCCCTCCTGTGGTCGCCGTCCGCTGCCCCTGAGCGGGAAGGCGCCGAGCTGCCCTTGAGCCGTCCGCACGGAGAGACCCTGGGCCGCAGCCCGAACCCGGGACCGGGCCTGGCCGGGCGGTTAAGCCTGGGCTTGGGGGGAGGCCGCCCTCACCCCCTCCCGCCCGCCCGGCCACAGACTCCTCCCGGGGGTTAACTGCGTCCGTCCATCTGTCCCTCCGTCTGTCCCGGGAGTGTTCTGCCGCCGAAAGCGGGGCTCCCTCTCCCACAAGGGCCCCTTTTTGTGTGTCCGTTTGTGCTGGGGAAGCCTCCACCTTAAAAAAAAAAAAAAAAATCAGCTTTATTCAGGACTGAGTTACATCCCCGTGAGGAGGGCTGACCGGGTTCCGCGCCCTCTAACACCCAGGCCAAACCCTGCCTCGCTTTGGGGCTCCCCCCCCCCCCACCCCGTGCTTTGTTTTTTTGTTTTGTTTTTAATAGTTTTGTTGGGACGGACTTCACCGTCCATTCAACTCACCTGTTTAAAGCGGGCACTGCATGCACTGTTTTTTACAGAGAGGTGCAATCAGCACAATCAATTATGGGGACCCATCATCACCCCCAAAAGAAGCCCTGTCGCCATCAGCACTCACTGTCCCTGCTCACTGCCCTCCCTCACCCCATACCTGGCCCCACGCAAGCACCAAACTCCTGCCTGCCTCCATAGGTCTGCCTTCTCTGGATGTCTGTAATAATCTAGAATAGTAGAGACATAATATGCTAATTAGACCGGACAGCCGGACGACCAGACGAAGCTGGGGCTGCGAGGGCCAAGCGCCTTGCGCAGACTTTGTGCATCGGGCCTCTAGTTTCTATAAGTTGAATCGCACAATACATCAGTTTTCCCGATTGGCTTCTGTCACTTGGCCTAGTGATTTTTGTATGTTCGTTTCAGATCCTCGCACTTCACTGAATTCTTTTATTATTGGAGTTAGCGTTATTGTTGATAAGCGTTTTCCGGGCATACTGTTATTTGTAAACAGAATTTGTTTACCCATTCTTGGGCCTGCAATACATTTGTTTGCATAGGTTAATGCCTGGAGTGTAGTGTTGATGGATAGTGGTGGGGATTGTGGGCATTCTTGCCTTGTTCCTGGTTTTAGGGGAAATGCCTCTAGTGTTTGCCATTAAATAAGGTACTGGCTTTAGGACTATAGCAAATACCTTTAAAATATTAGAAAGCATTCCTCAGTTTTTATCTTCTCCAGTGTCTCCATTATGGCAAAGGGGGTGTTGAATTTGGTCAGAGGCTTTCATAGATCTGAGAAAACATCTTCCCCTCAGATTTGTTAATTTGGCATATGATATAAATAGGTTTCTTAATATTGAACCAACCTTGCATTCCTGAAATGGATCCTACTTGGTTATGATTTATTATTTCACCAAGTAGTGTTGGGCTCTGCTAATAATTGGATTAGAATTTTTGCATCGGTGTTTGTGAGAGACAGTGAACTGTAGTTTTTCTTTGTTTTTTGTTTTGTTTTGTTTTTGTAGTCTGGTTTAGGTATCACAGTTATACTGATCCCACAAAATGAATTAGGACCTTTTTGTTTCTTTCCAACATTGGGGTGGCTGGTGTGTGAAGGTCTGGTGGAATTCTGGGAAACCATCAGGTCTGTACTTTCTGTGGGATAACTGTAATAACTTTCTCTGTGTCTCCTGTGGAAACTGACTGAGCAGAAGGAAGCCAGGCAGAGAGTGGCGGAGGGTAGGACTGAGGCGAGGCAGGGATAGGGTTCCGGAAGCAGGGGCACAGTTACAAAGGCCTCCGGGGAACACGTGCCCATTGCTTATGGTGATGTCTGTGGGCACACAGCGCTTAGGTTTTCTAACAGTTAACTCGGGGAGACAGCGTGGCTCAGTGAGTGGAGCCGGGAAGCTTGCTCACTCTGAGGGACTTGTAGTGTCTCCTGTGTCTGGTGGTGTGGACAGAAAGATGGACAAGGCGCACGCGGCCGTTGACTGTCCCCTAGAAGGTCCAGCCTAGAGAAATCACAGTTAAACACACAAGTGAAAGTGTGCTGTTACATGATGTACACGGTGTCCCTGGAGTCCGTGGGGACTGGTTGTGTTTGAGGAAAGGCTTCAGAGGAGGTGACGAATGTGCTGAGTCTTGAAGAGCAGGTAGAAATTTCCCTGGTGTGTGTGTGTGTATAGTGTGTATGTGTGTGTATGTGTGTGTGTGTGTGTGTAAAGTGTGTACAGTGTGTGCGAAGGCTGGGAGGAGTAAGAATACTGTTTGAGGAACCGCAGGTGGTTTGTGTAGTGGGAAGCACATGCACCTGAACTTGAATGGAGAAGGAAAGGGATGTTCGAGGTACACGGGCAGGATGGGACTCGGGTATTTGTTTACTGTTGCTGACCTTTTAGGGGCTTACCTTTCAAATCAGAAAAGGAAGGGCAGCCAAAACCGGTTTGGCTCCATGGATAGAGCGTCGGCCTGTGAACTGAAGGGTCCCAGGTTCGATTCCAGTCAAGGGCATGTACCTTGGCTGCAGGCACATCCCCAGTAGGGGGTGTGCAGGAGGCAGCTGGTCGATGATTCTCTCTCATCGATGTTTCTAACTCTCTATCCCTCTCTCTTCCTCGCTGTAAAAAATCAGTAAAATATATTTTTTTAAAAGAAAGAAAAGGAAGGGCATTTTCTAGGCACTTCCAAGATTATCTCTAGTTTTCTTTTTTTGTTTCCCTAGGTTAGCTAATTGATAAGTTGGTTTTACCTAGTGATCAGAAATATACCAACAATTGTGAAAATCCCCACCGAGAGCTCAAGGGACCTTCCTAATTGTCTGTTCTCAGGGGAGGGCCTCCTTTAAAATAGTACTAACCTTGACATTTCACTTCCTTTCTGTTTTAACAATTAGGTTTATCCCAGAAGATGTTAACCAAAAAGTTTGAGTTTCCCATACGTTCCAATGAAACTTCCAAAGCAATGAAGAAAAAGAAAGAGGTATATTATAGAAAGGTGCACGGGGGAGGGGGGGCAGTATTTGAATTTTAGATTAGGCTCTCTAAATACAAATGTGTGAATATGCTTAACACAGTGAAAAATAGTTCCGTCTTTTGAAAAGTTTAATTTCCTGAAATGAGAAAGTCGAAGTAATTGACCAGAAATGGAATTTGGTTTGGAAATTCTTATTAACATAAAGACTAGTCCTTGTAGTATTTGAAAGTATAAAACACATTTTAATCAAAATATTACCCTCCGGGAGATTTTTCTTTTTTGTTTTCTTTCTTTTTTTTTTTTTTTTTTTAATCAATCTTTATTGTTCATATTATTACAAAGGTTCCTCATTTCTTCTCCCCCTCCACCAGGTTCCCACCCCACCCTCTGCCCTTTCCCCACCCCCCATTGTCCTCATCCATAGGTGCATAGTTTATGTTCAGTCTCTTCCCGCCTCCACCACTCCCTTCCCCCCCCCCCAGAATTGTCAGTCCACTCCCCTCCCGTATCTCTGATTCTATTATAATCAACAGTTAATATTGTTCATCAGGTTTTTTAATTTCCTTTTTTGTTGTTGTTGTTTTTTTAATTAATAAACATATTTTTAAGAATAAATTTTAAAATCTAATAATTTTAAACCCGTTTTTTCTGCCCTGGGAATTGAGAGCAAACTTGTTTACATGTAAACTTGCCCTTAGGCTATCAAAAGGTGTAGCCATTCAAATGTAAATGAACACATTGTTTAAAGATAGCTGCTGGCCAGAATTGGATTACCTGTTCTGGGTGGGAAGGGCTTGTCCTCCCCTTTGTCCATTAAAATTAAGGTGATAGCTTTAAAACCTCTTTTTGGCAAGAGACCTTAAACTTTCAGAACTTTAAATTTTTCAGGTAGTAAATCAGTTACTTAGCATTTTCTCAAATCAATAATACCTCCACATGCCCAAGGATACACTTCACACAAAAGACACTTCCAAATAGATCAACTTCATCCAGACCCCACACAAGGCACTCACAGATCAACACCCCAGCGCTATACTAACTCAGCACATCCAGATCTAAGCCTTCATCACTTGATTCAGCTGACCCTCAAGTTCCCGCAAAAGTTTCCAGCCATGTCTGAGAGGCAGCCCTGGGGCGGGGGCAGGCGAGGATCGAGCTGTTCCGGGCCTGGCTGCTCCGGGCCTGGCCTCTGTTGCTCTGGTCCGCTCCACAACCTGCTGCTCCGGGTCTGGCCGCTGCCGCTCCCGGCCTGGCTGCTGCTGCCCTTCCGGGAGATTTTTCAAAGCATGGAAATATATGTTCTATAGACTTTCGCACACTCTGAGGTACAGCATTGAAGAAAACCATGGATTTCACAGAAAAGGACGTATCTATTGGTGTCATGTAGCTCTTTTAAAGACAAGGACAGATATTACGTCTGGCAGGAAAGTTGACAAGGACGAACCTTAGTGCTGAAACTTTTCCCCTATGGTCCCAAGGTCATGGTCACCTGAATGTTTAAACATTCAAGGCCATTTGCTCATCTTTCATTCCCACCATATATTTTATACTTCAGTTAAAGAAATTGTTAGTTAATAACGGCACATAAAATAGTATCTTCTGAGCTTAGTGTTTGAGTTATGGCTTATATATATAGCATTCAAGGTGAATAACCCTTGCAGCAAATGTATTTTGAATTTCCCACTAGAAATATTTTTTCCAAGAGCCAATTCCTCTTAGGTGAGGAGAAAAGAGTAATAGCCATTGTCATAAATATTGTGTACCAGCCACGGTACATGCTTTACAAATATTTTTCATTAATCAGAATAATCCCCTGTATGAATTATCCCTGGATGAGATGTAAACACTTGCCCAATGTCAAGCAAGAGCGAGTGGCCGCCAGAACTTGAGCTGAGGTCTGTGTACTTGCTTCTGCGGTCCTCATTCTTCTAGTTCATCCACACTCTCGTTATTTTGCTTTGGTATGTCTTAGTAGAAATGTTTCCTATCTAAAATAAAACACATTAAGATGAAATTATTGCCCCCTGGCTTACACATGGGGACAGAAATTCATTATTTTTATTATCTTTTGAAACAAGATGGAATGTGTGGGAGCCATTTAGGTAGAGCTTTGTGGACATGGCCTTGGAGAGGCAACTCCAGAACGGTGACGTAAATACAGGAGGAAGTGCCAGGAAGCTGGACCAGGAAATCAAAGGCAGTGGTTACGGAAGACAACTGCATTTAAGTTTTAGTCTCTAAGTGCTAATCTGCTTTATAATTATAACATCAGTTGACATGCAGCACAGTTGAGTCACTCCCAGTCGCCTCCATCAAAATGTAGGTTCTTAGTGCAGTCACTTGGTAACATCCATTTTTCACAGAAAATCAGCAGAATTTACTTTGCCTTTCTGCTCAGCGTTCCTCACCTGTGCTTATCTTTTGAAGGTTTCAGTGTGGAAAAAAGTACACAAAGTCATTTCTAGAATGCTCGAAGAAAACGAACAATATAGACTCAGGCTGAAATGCCAAGGATTATCAAGCGAAAGTAAGTTATACTATTTATTGTACTGAAGGACTGGCTTCTATAACGGTTTAGTTTCCCTGGATCACATTAGAACAGGACTTTTCCTAATTGTCAGGCAAGGTCCAGAACTCTGGAAGCAGCTAACCACTGCTCATCTCAAAACACAGCAAGCAGTGCAGCCGGAGGAGAGCAGAGGCCGGAGGAAGCGGGTGGGCGTGGAGGGCTGCAGAGGGGAATGCTGACGGGAATTTAGTGAACAGGGCCCACGCTTGTCTCTTAAATCTAAATTTCCATGCCAGCCTTTTAATACAGATTGCAGAGCTGATCCCCAGTGATGAAGAAAGACATAACGCAATGTGAACTATACGTCACTTTATAGGCACATGATGCTACTATCTAACTTAATGCATTCGCAAAACCTGCCCTTGAACTATGGCCTTGATGTCCCTTCATTCCTGGAAGACATCCTGTAGGTTAAACCAGGTGCTAAAGCTGCATCAGTATTGAGTTCCATGCTGTGGCCTGAGCAATATTAGATGTGATCTAGTGTATTTATTAAAGAAATTGGAATCCACGCAATTAAATTGGATAAAAATCTCAGTGTATGTAACTAATAATGCCACACAGATTGATAATCATAATAGTTATTTTCTTCCCTCCACATGCATGTCCTCACACATGTGTTACCATGCTGGATGCTTCTGTAGGTTCTTAGTACAGTCACGTGATGACAACGTCTATTTTGACAGTAAATCTGCAGTTTAATTTTGTGAAGAATATTCAAACAATAATAATTAGAGACGGAATGCCGTCTTGTAAACAATGTACCCTAGAAACTCATTACTGTGTGTGTAATAGTGCATCAATAATGGCAGAAATTGTTTGCAATTATGGCTTATAAGCCAGTGTTCAGATTAGTGATGCTCTATTTTGCTTTTCTTACCCAATTAAAAAGGAGAATGAATGGAGCAGGAGCGGGGATTAGGAGAAAAAAGTAGTTGGTAGTTTCTTAAGGGAAAGGATGTTTGAATAAGCGGAGCAGTGTGCAAAAACCCGGACCTCGTTGAGAGTTAGTCCAGACCCCGTAGCTTTAATGAATATGCTAGGTCAGATTTAATCTTGCTCTGGCCGCAGCCTTGAACTTGCAGGTTCTCTTGTGCCTCAGCAAGTGGCTTTCTATTAACCATCAAACATTCTAGTAAGGGTTGTTTAACAACGTAACATAATCTGCTGTGTTTTTCAGAAACAGCCTCTGACAAACAAAAGACACCCTTATAATTTGTTATTTTGTATTACCATTTTAAACCAGATTACAAAGACCAATGATCACATCTTTAAGACGTATTATAACTTATTCTTTAATATGCACTTATTAATGGGAAAACCTTTCCCAGAGGCCCACTTGAATTTTCCTTGTGTTTTATGTTGTTTCTAGACTCAGATCACACAAGATGAATCTTCTCATCATCTTCTGGTAAGAATCTATTTTAATAACAATTATAAAGTATAGACTTTACAATTTCTCCTTTATGTCCTACTTTCTCCAACCTTTAGTGTATACCTATTGCTAAGTCCAGCCAATTTCCTTCCTGAAACCAGTGTTTGGCACACAGAAGGCACTCATTAAATATTTGTTGACATTTAATAAACTTTATTTGGGCCCCATGACTGCAATGCTATTGAAACTGCTGTTGCCATGGTCATCTTTTTTCTTTTTGTTCATGTATCTGCTTAGTTCTCTTCTCGAGGTGGGCTTCCTCGTTTCTCTCACAATGGCACCACAGTGGCAGTCACACCAAGTTTGCATGAAACAGCAAAGTAATTCCTAGTTTTGTGTCTTCCTTTAGTTATAATTTAATCCCTGGAGACTGGGATTTGTGGCCGCGTGTTCTTCTGTGACCGCCCAGCGAAGTTGCCTGTTTCCCGTTGAGGACACAGAGTCGGGCAGCTGGCCGGGGCCTTGCCCGCCACGCCGTGTCCGAGCCCGGCGGGAGGGGCCGCACTGTGGCAATGCGCCGGGTAACTTTCACTGTTGAATTCTTGGTAAAGCTCCCAAATTTAGCTGATGAAACTCAAATCCTTGTAAAGTGAGACATGTACTTGCTTATGCTGTAATCTGTGCTGCACAATGTTTTGTGGTAAATGCGAATGTTCATTTCAATGTCCGTTTACGCTAGGTAACTTACACTGCTTGGTAGTCAGGTAATCTGTGTTAATGATCGAATTGTTTATTAGATTTAAAACTAAGTGTCAGGCTGGGTCCAGACTCGGTTTGCCTCACTGTTCCAGAGCCCTGGAGTAATGAAGACTCCCAGGGAAAGAATGTTCTAGAGAGTGCTCTACATCTTTTCATTTTTATCTAAAACTTTCTGGTGAAAATGTATTAAACCTGTTTGTTTGTTTATTTATTTATTTATTTATTTATTTATTTATTTTGGCACAACATAATAAACACAATACAACTTTTCTCTGCGGACAATAGCTAGACAGTACTTACATCTGGTCCCATTGCCCAGCCCCTTCCACCCCTCCCTGCCTTCTCCGCTCAAGTAACCATCACACCGAATCTGTGCATGTGACTACTTTTCATATCGTTTATTGCAATGACATATATGTCTTCCTGAAAGGTGCATCTAGGGGTCTGACTTTCTGACGAGGACATTATGTTGCATGTGCTCTTTTTGGACTTTTACTTTGTAACATTCGTGCATGGTGCTGACTGCCCTTGGGGCTCATTCGTTTTGCTCAGCACTTTGTAAATGTCATGTCAGTGTGAGGGGATAGCCAGGCTCCTGGGCACAACCACTTGAGCCAGATTATCTCACTTTCCCTCAGGATAAACTTACCCTGGATTTCATCTGTTTAACTTAAAGATAACCCTAAATGATCTCTGTGCTTTCAGAACTCTGATTGTGTGTCTAGATATGTTTCATAATCCCATAAAAGTTACAGCAGGAAGCCAGCTCCTCGGAGGCTGCTGAGTGAGGGCTGTCTCTCGGCTCCAGGGAACGCCCCATTTCCCTCTGTCCTTTCGGAGGTTCTGAGCAGGGGGGACACTTCTCCTGTTTCTGGGAGTGTTCCAGTCTGACCTCAGGGGCTCCATGGAATGGTCACTTGTCCAGCTGGGCTTCCTGACCCTCCTGTGCCTCCCAGGACTCTGTGCCTGGGATTGAAGCTCAGAGAAATCTTTTAAACATGGAAATAGCCTGGGGACTGGGTGAGCCCGTCACCCCATGTGTGGTGTGTCATTAGTATGTGTGTCATGTAATTGTGTGTAGGCAAGAAGCCAGACCTCTTATTTTATTTTTTTAAAATCACCATGAAATGGAATCTTCTGGACATCAAAGACAGAGGTTGACTGAAAGCTGAAATTATCCCAGCAAAAGGCAATGCCAAGTTCAGGAGTCAGCGAACGTGCACTGCCCACTCCTTTCTGCAGGTGGGAACCTCCGGTTACACACCATCTGGGGCAGAGGCGGGAGCGGGCCAGCCTGCACAAGGCTCCCGCCTTTGTGAGCCAGGTTCCAGGGCATTCTTTAGTTCCCTCGCTCACCGGTGTGGTATTTGCTGAGTACATACTATGTCCTCAGTTCTGCTCTAGGCACTGGAGAGCAGGCGGGAACAAGACATAGTAAATGTCTGGCTTCCGGGGAAGCACTCAGTGTGCTTCAAGAGCAGGCGCTATGGAGGAAAATGGAGGGGGTGGGGGTGGTGAGGATGCAGTGGAGGGGAGGCTCCACACAGTGGGTGACATGGAGGTAAGACTGGAAGGAAGGACCAGGCGTGCAGAGGCAGGACCCCGAGGCTGGAGGAGAGGGGAGGAGGTCCATGGAGTGGGGGGGTGGGGGGGGAGGAGATGAGAGGGTGACAGACGCAGACTGTGGGGCACTGTCTGGAGGACGCTCCTTTTCTCCGAGTGGGAGGCACTGTGGGGGCGTGCTGAGCAGAGTATTGACATGAGCCGCCGGCCTTTAACACAACTATTCCAGCAGCTGTGTTGAGTGTCAGTGATTGATCCTCTTTCTCCCTGTCTTCTCATCTATAATTATAAGCATAATATGCTAATTAGACTGGACGTCGGTCTGGACGACCTTCCGGACAAGCCGCTTCTGCGAGGGCTGAGCCCCTTCCATGAACTTTGGGCATCGGGCCTCTAGTATAAGCATAAAAAGTCAAGCAGGTGGGACTTCTCTGCAGAGACGGAAATTTGCAAATCCTAAAGCTCTTTCCTTGGCAAAGACATGTGGTCCATCTCTTGGGCGGGGACACTCACACCCTTGTTGCACTTTAAGAACTATGGGAATATGAAATAATACTGACAATCTCTGGTAACCAGGAAAATGCTCAAACCACAGTGACATCTCACCTCACACCTGTTACAATGACCGATAGCAAAAGATAAAGATAAGTGTTGGTGAGGGTGTGGGAAGTGGAACCACATGCACTGTTGGTAGGAATGTGGGAAACACTACAGGGTTCCCCAAAACTTGAAAGTAGAGCTGCCATGCAATCCAGCTGTCCAGTCCTGAGTGGGTGCAAAGGAAATTAAAACAGAGTCTTGAAGAATAACTGAGCTCCCAAGTTCCCTGCAGTCACAATAGTCAAAATATGGAATCAACCTAAGTGTTTGTCAGTGGGTGAACGGAGCCCGGCTGGTGTGGTTCTGTGGTTGAACATTGACCTATGAACCAGGAGGTCATGATTCAATTCCCGGGTCAGGGCACATGCCCAGGTTGCAGACTCCATCCCTAGAGTGAGATTTACAGGAGGCAGCCGATCAATGATTCTCATCATTGATGTTTCTATCTCTTCCTATCCCTTCCTCTCTGAAATAAATAAATTAATCTGAAAGTTTAAAAAAAGGGTGAATGGGTAAAGAAGATGTGACACATACATACATGCACACACACACATAAACACACACGCACGCACACAATGGAATATTAGCCTTATAAAAAGAAGGAAATTCTTCATTTGTGTCACATGGATGAACCTGGAGGATATCATGCTAAATGAAACAAGCCAGGTCCAGAAAGACATACCACGTGGTCGCCTATAGGAGGGACCCGAAAGGTCGAACCCATAGACCGGTGGACTGGGCGGAGGGGCTACGGGAGCCGTTGGTCGAGGGAACAGTCAGGCAGGACGAGTGGTCTGGAGCCCCACTACGCACGGTGACTGCAGTCAGTGCTGCTGTGCTGTCTATTGTGGTCTCCCTGTGCTTCCTGTGGCTTCAGTTACCCAGAGGCAACTGTGGTCCGGAGCCATTAAATGGAAAATCGCAGAGCACACAGTTCATACGCTTTTGATTGCATGCCCTTCAGGTCTCTGCCTGACCACGTCTGCTTCCCTCCTTCCCTCTTCCCCGGGGAGCTCTCCCTAGGAAGCGCAGCATTCAGAGCTCTCGGCCGTGGCTTTGGGGAGCCTGTTCTGCACCCCAAGCTTCCCACTCCACTGTGACCTTGCTTTACAATGCAGACTGGACAGCTTTGGTGGACGAGACAGCTGGATGGATCATTTCACAGGAAGCGAGCCTCGGGATGTCTTTGAAAGGCCAAGTTCTAGGCAAAACACAAAAACTCGCTCAAAGGCCCGTCCTTCTCATTAAATTATTTCCCCCCAAGTGCACCCGCAGGCTTTCGTTGGGAGAGTTCTCTGTAAGCCATCCTGCTTGTATGAAGCGGATGTCAATTTGCACCCACAGACCTTCCCCCTTCCCCTTGCCAGCCCCCTTTTCACCCCGTCCTCGCCAACCGGAGAAGCTGTTCTGGCTTGCCTCTCTGCCTCCTCTCTATGGCCCTTCTCCCCCTCTAAGACTGAAGTGGGCAATGACCCATTTTCCTGTGTAAGCGGTGAGAGAACCTCATGCTTTTCAGAGCTCTCTGACTGTGTTATTTGAAATTTAAATATAGAGCTCCTAGCAAGAGTCTGAGCATCGCTTCCCTTTATGCTCGCCTCTGGGAGATTCTGAGAACAGATTTCTAAAAGGCGTATATTTCTACCACTCCATTAAATTTGGGATAACGTTCTTAAACTGACAACATGATTTATAATGAGATATTTAACGTGCTTTTATCATCTCCTTCATTGGAGATATAGCTGTACATGGAGACAAAGCAAAACCCTTTGTGCGGAGACGTGATGACATTGATTGCAGAAGCACCCAGGCTCCCTGACATGTGTGCATGTAAGATAATTACTTCACACAAAGCCTCCTCATCAGAGCCCTTTGGAAAAAGACTCGCATTTGCTCCCTTTTCTCCCACTTCCAGTTCTGACAAGAGTGTCTTGGGAAATGGGAATACAACGTGAAAACAGGCCTCAGTGCAAGTAGAGACAGGTTTAGCACCTGATGAGCATGGGAACAGGGAGAAGCAGGAAGTGGGCACAGATGTGTGGTAATTATCGAAAGAATTTGTTTTATTCTTCAGGCTGAGAGATGGCCACCAATTCACGTATGTTTTTGGCATATTAAAACATCACCAGCCCGGCCAGTGTGACTCAGTGGATGGAGCATCGGCCTACAGACTGAAGGGTCACGGGTTTGATTCCGGTCAGGGGCACATGCTTGGGTTGTGGGCTCGGTCCCAGGTTGGAGGCATGCAGGAGGCAGCCGATCAATGATTCTTTCTCTCTTCTCATTGATGTTTCTCTCTCTCTCCTCATCTCCCTCTCTGAAATCAATAAACTTATATTTTTTAAAAATCACAAAGGGGGGAAAAGAACAAGAATAGCAACATCCACATACATATGGGTCCCAAGTAGCTAGGGTAGGGGGAGTTTATATAGAAAACAAGAAAATCACAAGAAATAATAAAAATAATAAAAAATGCAAGACAATTTAAAAAAAATATATTTTATTGATTTTTTACAGAGAGGAGGAGAGAGGGATAGAGAGCTAGAAAAGTCGATGAGAGAGAAACATCAATCAGCTGCCTCTTGCACACCCCCCACTGGGGATGTGCCCGCAACCAATGTACATGCCCTTGACCGGAATCGAACCTGGGACCTTTCAGTCTGCAGGCTGATGCTCTATCCACTGAGCCACACCGGTTTCGGCAAGACAATTTTCTTATTGTCAAACTTAATTATAAGGATTTAAATTCCCATGTTAAAAAGGTTACTTAAAATGACCTAGTCAAGAAATAAAGTGCAATTTTAAAAGGCTGGGAAGAGGGAGTAGAATCTATAGAAGGAAGGGTTTGCAACTGTATTTTAGATAGAGAGGAACTCAAGTCACAGAACACTAAACAGACAATAGATTCTTTTACGTTCATTAAAGCAAAGTTCAAAGAAGATGCAAACTCATGAGGCTAATATACAAGTGACACAGCTTTAGTGCAAGGAGAAATGTCACAACATGAGGGTACATATCCCCTCTCTCTGACAGGCCAAAAGCAAAAAAAAAAAAAAAATCAGTGAGTGTACAGAAGATTTAAATAACTTGATTGAATAGTTATGTATAAAAATCTATTTATATAGAATATTTCTTTCCTTATGTTCAGAGAATTTTAACAGAAATAATTCATACCTTAGGCCACAAAGAAAATATAAATACACTCCCCAAAGCAGAGAATATCCAGAAAATACTCTTAGACCACGTGCAATAAAACTAGAAACTAGTCTTAAAAGATATAAATTAGCAAAAAGAAAAATAGCATTCAGAAATTAAAATGAAAAACCAACTCATTTTATTGAGTGACTCAAGTCAGAGAGGCAAATCTTTAGTTATAAAATAATCTAGGAACTAATAAATATTTCAGAAGTAAATTAAAATAAGAACATTTCTTTCATTATCAGTCAGGGACAAGGCAAATCAATAAACTAGATATTTGTCCCAGGAAGCTTCAAAAGAGAAAAATGAGATACACTTCAGGAAATGAGGGAGAAGAAAACACTTTTTCAGGTATAAATTGGTAAATTAGGAAACTAAAAAATGATTGGCGTAAGAGATAATTCTTAAAATGCTTACCTAATAATTAAAGTAGATGTTTGTTTTACACTTAGAGATGTTGTTCTAAGCACTTTGCCTATCTTAGCTCATCTAATCTTTATAACAGCCCAAGAGTATCTGCAATGTACAGTGTGGAAATGGATCACAGAGCGGTTAACTAACTACCCAAGGTCACAAACCTAGCAAGTGGCGGAAGTGGGAATCCCAGACAGTCTGGCTCCAAAGACTGTATCTCTGAGTCCCACACCACACTCACAATTATTCAGGAAAGTGGTTACAAATTCATAGAAACAATAAATAGCAATTAAAAATTTTAACTGGAAACAATGCCTTTTAGTTTTATGCTAAAAACACAGATTTAGAAACATTCTTTGTAAGCCATTGGTGGTGAGAGCCTCCTGAGTTACCCGATGCTGCTCAGAACAGTGTCTTCGTTCCTTCCATCCAGTCCGGGCCATGCACTGCCCTCGGGGCGTGCTATTAGGTCCAGAGGAAAGCCAGGAACTTGGCTTCGGGCCGGGGTCGTGGCGCAGGTATCTGCTGGGATACTCAGCACTCCTTTCCTCGTGGGGAGACGCTGCCTTCCTTTCCTCCAAGAGTGCCTTTGTCCACTGCCACGCGTGGCATCGGATCAGGGCTCAAATCCCAGTTCCTGGAGGGAGTTCTGTGACCGGACGTGGCCCTGTGCACTGTGAGGACAGTCTATGTTTGTGCACTGCCTGCTCCGAGCTAAAAGCTTTTCCCACGTTACCGCCTTCACACACCCCACCAACCCCCTCCTGCAGCACTGCACTCTGCACACGAGGGAAGGGGTCCGAGAGAGCTTGGACCGCTGCCCGCTCTGCAGGGGAGGCAACAAATATTGCCCCTTCTCCCTTCCCGGGGCAGAGAGCACGCAGGGCCAGCCTCGGTGCTCCCAGCATCGCTCTGGGAGAGCTCCAGACGCGGTGCCTTTTCCCAGGAAATGTGCTTTTCCAGTTTTCCCGAGGCGCGGGGAGGGCTTGTTGCAGGATGTCTTACATTTTATGTGCGTGTGTGACCAGCATGCCTTCCACTTGCTCGAAACCCTGTTGGCCCGCGCCGGCTGTGGCCATGCATGCGAAACAGCAGGTGGTGCCAGATGACAGATGGTGTGGGAGCCCGGCCCGGTGGGCGGGGGCGGGAGCAGGAGGCGGCTGCCAGCAGCTCATCCCCATCCCCGCGCCGGCGGCGCTGCGCTCAGAAGCTCCCGGACCCAGCCCCGCGCCAGGCGCTGTCCCTTCAGCACCAGCAGCCCAGCCCGGCGGGCGAGCCCGGGTGCAGCACGCCTGGCCGGCCTCCTGCTCCGAATCGGCTTGAAT